GAACCGGTCCTTAACTGCCATGGGTGCGACCAGCAAAACCATGCACCCACAGCCCACCATTCAGTCGCATTTTAGTTGGATAATTACGACCATGAAGCATGGCCAGATGTCTCGAGCACGCAGCTCAACAAGATACTAGAATGTCTAATACTGCAATTATCCCATCGACTGAGCTAGTGGTAATTAAGCATGGCTAAGCATATAGTTCTAGCTAGGTCATCAAAGTAACACCAGCTAGGCGATTTATTACCCATGGTTGACAAAGGACAGATATCAAGTAAACATAGCACAAGCGAGCAGATAGGTAAAACCCTGACCCCATGTAATTAGCAAAACATGCATATTTATTTGCAAACAGTAAAACATTTGTAAATTGGGATCAACATGCTCAAGGGGAATGTGTGACTTGCCTTGCTTCTTCACTTGGATCTTCTGAACTCTTATCCTTGTGAACGCGATCTTCCGAAACGACGGGAACTACACGCTGGCACGCAAAACGAGGAAAAACTCTAATAAAAACCAAGAAAACAGTACATAAAAACTAAACAAACATGTAGAGCTCAATTTTAGATGAATTTTGCAAGTTGAATGGCTCAATTCGGAGTTCGAATGAATTAGGTATGAATTTTAGAAGTTTTAAGCCTTTTAAATGAATTTCTAGAATTAAACTCGATTTATTGCGCAATTATTATTTATTTTTACAAAGGAAATGGTCCTCGCTGACGTCAGCAAGGGGTGAGGCGCGGACCACGTCCACAAAGGGGGCAGGCCCCACATGTCAGCGGCACGGCCCATCGTGGACCGAGTCCACGGTGGCGATCGGCCACGCGGCCGCGCACCCGACGGTCTAGATCGGCCAAGGCCGATCGGACGGCTGGGGACGGCCGGGCGGCGCGGCCTGGCCAGCGCGCACACAAGGCTGGCGGCGGCGGCGGCCGGGACCAAAGCGACGGCGGCACACGGGCCGGGCGTCGCAGGGAGCGGCAGCGCGCAGCGCGGGAAGCGGCGAGAGGAAACGGGGACAGTGAGGGAGAGGGAGGTGGCGGAGCTCACCGAGGGGCACGGCGACGGCGAGAGCAGCCGGCGGAGGGAGGCGGCGGCGCTCCACAGGTCGACAATGAGGAGGGGCTCCCGGCGGCGGAAGGCGGCGACCGGGCGGCGGACGGGGAAGAGCGGGACGTGGCGAAGGAGGCGATGCGGCCGGCGCGTCGCGGCGGCAGCCGGGGTGATGGCGAACGGCGACCGGAGACGGAAAAAAAATGGCCGGTAGGGTGGCGTGGTGGGGAGGTGGTTCTGGTGGTGGAGGGGAAAAAAGGATGGGCGGCCGGGCTTGCCCTTGCGGTGGTGGATCTAACCGAGGCAGTGGCGCGGCTTGAGGTGGTTGAGGATGGCGGCTAGAGGCGGCCGGAGGCGGTAGGCGGTGGTGCACGAGGCGGCGGTGTTCCGGAGGCGGAGAGGGGAAATGGAGTAGAGGCCGGGCTGCGGCACGGCGCCGCGAAGCCGACGGTGGTGGCGGATTGGCGCGGCGGTGGGTGAAGCAGCGGTGGCGGGCGGCCGGAGCTCGCCGGAAAGCGGCGGTGCGCGGGAGCGGCGTGGGGAGGGGGAGAGAGAGCGCGGCTGGCTCGGGTGAGGAGGGGGAAAAGAGAGAGGATGCTCCGGGGTTCGTTTTTATAGGGTCGGAGCGGCGGAAATGGGGCCGAGAGGGGCGGCAACCGGCGGGGAAGTGGGGCGCCGACGGGGGGTGGTGGTGGCTCGGCCGGCGCCGGTTTTTGTGGGACGAGCGGGGAAAATGGTGGAGGACGTGGAGGGGATCGTGCCCACGTCGTTGGATGCGAGCTCGGGTGCGGGAGGGCGCCGGATTTTGTGGCGACGTGGGCGGCAATGGCGGTTGGGGTTGGCCGGCGAGAGGTAGGAGCTGACAGGTGGGGCCCACGGTCCCACCTGTCGGCCGGATGGAGAGAGAGGAGGGAAACCGGGGGACGTAAAGCAGACTTTCGCAAGGCGCGGGCCGGCCGAGAGAGAGAGGAGGAGCGCGGCCCGCGGGAGAGGAGGGGAAGGCTTGGGCCAAGCCCAAAAGGGAAGGAAGGAGAATTTTATTTGTTTTCTTTTTATTTAATTGGTTAAATGATCTTTGTGACTTTAAAATTATTTATTGAGCTCCGAAAATTTGCGGAAAAATCCGGAGAGTATTTTAGGGCACAAAGAATATTACAAAATATTCTCGGCCAATGATTTTTAAAGGAAATTTTTAATTCCCTCAATAATTCACTTGATTAAGTTGATTTAACTTTTATTTAATTTCTAGAAAATGTATTATTAATTGATTTTTATTCCCGAACAAAAATCGGGGCGTTACAATCGATCCTTGGACCTCAAACTTAAAGTGGTGGCACTTTTTAAGTTTGCTTTCCTTGCTGTACACGACTGTCCATTTTGCTGATGGTGTGCTAACCATAGGTCAAAACCATCCCTGTAATGTAATGATCCAGGTGACATGACAACCCAAGCAAAGCTAGCTGTATGTCACCTTTTCATTCCATACCCAAACTGCCAAAAACCCAGTTCTAGCAACTCTTCCGCTAGCTAGAAAATATCGCTGCTAAATCTTGCGGCGTGAATCAAGTGTAACAACACCAAATGGGGTGCGTATGCAACCTCTCCTGGCACCAAACTCAAATACGGCATGCAGCAGCTAGTGCACGCGTAAAGTCAAATGAATCACATCACATAACATAGCAATCTGAAAACGGAGACATTAGCCTAGCAGCCTCATCGATGTACGGCTGATAAGCCATCGAAAATAAAAAAAACAATCAAAATTCATTTATTAAAATCTTTATTATATATATGTAAAGCAGTGTAAAAATAGACACGATGATAAAAAACTTCAAAATTAATATATAATAAATTTTTAATGTTTTGAGTGTATAGTGATGTGTGTAGGTATGCATCTGTCGTTTGATAATAAAAATAAGTTAAAAGGTAAATGATGGAGCTCGGGTAGTCCAGGTCTCCTGGATAAGATTAGGACGAAGACGAGCATATTAATTAGGCCTTGACCGAAAATTGACGGCGGCATGCCCGAGTATTGCGTGTTCAGGAAGACGTCAAAACGGGAAGGACCGGCGAGCGGTGCCGGCCGGCACGTGCGCGGAGGCCGACAGCCGCCGGTGCGGTACGCCGGTGGCGCGACTTGTCGACGCAACTAGATCGAAGTCGGCCGCGGACGCACGGTCCACGCTGTACACGACTCGAGGATGGCCCACCGCTGAACGGATCCACGTCACCTCGGCAGCCCATGGGCCTTCGTGCATATGCGTAGAAACCGGGAAGGCCGGACGGAGAGCGATTTTGACCGGCCTCGTGAACCCCGCTGCACAGGTGGGAGTGTTTGAGATAAGAAGAGTCTCATCGGTTACAGTTAGTCATATTTCTTAATAAGCTAAAATGACTTATTTAAAAATAAAAGTTAATTTATAGATAAAATTTTTATATATTTATCTGTAGTAACTTAAAAGTTAATATTAAAAAAATGTTCAAAATATCTTAAACAACTTCAAAATCAAGTCAATTAAATTTTAGTTTTTCTCTAACTTATTAGGCTAACCGATGAAGCTGAAAGAAATAAGACGATAGAATAAATATATAAAGCACGGTGAGTCACTAATGTAATGTATAATTAATTAAGTATTAATAGCTAAGATTAATAATTAAGATATAATATTTTACGGTTTTAATATAAAATTAAATTAATGTTTATTTAAAGAAATAACCGTTTAACGGTTCGATAAACGTGTGCGTGAAGACCAAAAGAAATCTCCTCTCTTTCCTCTTCCAGCAGCACGAGGAGGGTTCATCACACATGGACACGGAACTGACAGAAGAAGTACCGTAATGGAGATGATAACATGTGCGCGCAGTTAATCGATGTGTAAACCTAGCTTTCACGGACTGGTTCGTGCGATTTTACCTGCACACCTTCTGTAGATTTGTTGACTTCCTGACGTGGTAATAAGTCGGCTGTCTAATCCGTTGATGCTCGAAGGCACAATCAGAATTTATTACTATTATTTTTTTGCAACGATGCTATCAGAGGTTAAATAGAATATATAGGGATATGGTTTGGTTACAAAATTCATTCACTCTTCTGGACCGATAGATGTTTCTAGCTCAATCATGTGAGCATCCTATGATCCCAATCATGGTTATGTAACTAACATGTCAAAGATAGTAGCTCCCTTAGCGTACCGACCAATTGATACTCCATCCGTCAAAAAAAAAAAAACAAAAGACAAACCCTGATTTCCGTGCCCAATATTTAACTGTCCGTCTTATTTGAAAAAATTATGAAAAAAATTAAAAAGACAATCACGCATAAAATATTAATCATGTTTTATCATCTAACAACAATGAAAATACGAATTATAAAAAAAAATTTATATAAGACTGACAGTCAAATTTAGACATAAAAATCTAGGGTTTGTCTTTTTTTTTTTACAGAGGGAGTACGTATAGGAGCTAGTAGCTGTTAGTATAGGATTAGCGAGATGACATCAAGTCTTTTCTATTGAACGGTAGTAGTATAAAATATGGGTGTTGTGAGATATTCCAGTAGTATAAAGCTGGATGTTGAACAGACTGTTTGTAGCTCTGTCTTCCATCAGCTGAAATGGTGTCGATATGTTGCTAGCAAAAGTTTCCAGTTTTGCTCTTAAGTACTCCCTCGGACCCATAATACAAGGGATTTTGAGTTTTTGTTTACACCGTTTGATCACTCATCTTATTCAAAAAATTTTAGAATTATTATTTATTTTTTTTGACTTACTTTATTATCCAAAGTAATTTAAGTATAACTTTTTATTTTTTTATATTTGCATAAATTTTTTTGGATAAGATGAGTGTTCAAATAGTAAAAAAAAAAATCAAAATTCCTTATACTGGACGGAGGGAGTAGTAAGTAATGCAGTAAAGTAAATGGTAGGGATTTGGGAGCGGTGTAATAAACTTGAAGGTTTCTTCTTAGATGAGAAAAGAAAAGGAAAAAGTATACTTTTACTCCCTTAACTATGGCCGGGGTACGATACATGACCTCCAACCACAGAACAGGATATATCGACTCCTCCAACTACCAAAACCGGTGCAAATTATATCCCTGGGTGGTTTTGGAAGTGGTTTTGGTTGACGTGGCACCTACATAGCGGTGTTGACCCGGTCTTCGTTCCACGTGTCGTCGACGTATCGCTTATGTGGCATTAGAGTAAAAACAAAAATTTGTAAGACCAACATGTCATTCACATAAAAAAAAATAGTGGGACCCACCGACATGTGGGCCCCACATGTCATTCTCACCCCTCTCCCCTCTCTCTCATCTTTTCCTCTCCTCTCACCTTCAATCACTAGAGCGCGGGGCGGCGGCGACAGCGCACAGGGAAGGAGGTCGCTGGCCGTCCACGCGCGGGGGAGGAGCTCGTCGGCCGTTCACCCACGGAGAGGAGCTCGCCAGCGCCCCATCCCTTCTTCCTCCTCCTCTCTCTCTCTCTCCCTTCTCTCTCTTTCTCTCCCCTTTCTCTTCGTCTGCAGGCGGCGGCGGGTGTTCGAGGGCCGTAGCGGCGACAGCCAACGGGAGGGCGGACGCTGCCTCGAGACGGAGCGGCGACGAGGCGCCCTCGGGGCGGAGCTACGGCTCGTCGTCCTCAAGGCGTCGCGACGGCTCCCGCCACGCCCACGCACATCGCGACGCCTTTGCCGCCGCCGCCGCCTACCTCGACTACATCGTCGACAACGCTGACGAGTTTGGCGGCACCCGCTGGGCCATCACCAAGTTCAGCTGGGACGTCAAGTACGCCGGCGTCCAGATCCTTGCCGCCAGGATACGTCGTGATAGCAACAAACACCTTGCATTGACGTGACATGATGTCAGTGAGAGTGAGCTATGTAGCCGATGCGTGTGAATGTATTTTGCGTGTGAAGCTAGCCAGCTACTGATGAGAGGGGAGCACGAGGAGAGGCACAGGGAGACACTGGAGAGGTACAGGGAGAAGGCAGAGCACCATGTGTGCGCGTGCGTGGGCCGGCGGCGCCGACGCCAACGTGGAGCAGAGCCCCGGCGGGGGAGGCGGCGACGGCGGCACAGGCGTCGCGACATGCATGGGCGGCGGGAGCCGTCGGGACGCCTTGAGGACGACGAGGGCGCCTCGTCGCCGCTCCGTCTCTAGGCAGCGCCCGCCCTCCCGCTGGCTGCCGCCGCTACGGCCCTCGAACACCCGTCGCCGCCTGCAGACGAAGAGAAAGGGGAGAGAGAGAGAGAAAGGAGAGAGAGGGGAGGAAGAAGGGATGGGGCGTCGGTGAGAATGACATGTGGGCCCCACCCCCACATGTCGGTGGGTCCCACTTTTTTTTTTTTGAATGACATTTTGGTCCTACAAATTTTTGTTTTTACTCTAATGCCACATAAGCTACACATCTACGACACGTGGAACGAAGAACGGGTCAACACTGTCACGTAGGCGCCACGTCAGCTAAAACCACTTTCAAAACCACCCAGAGATATAGTTTGTACCGGTTTTGGTAGTTGGAGGAGTCGGTATACCCGGTTTCGTGGTTGGAGGTCATGAATCGTACTTGGGCCGGAGTTAAGGGACTCAAAGTATACTTTTTCCAAAAGAAAAGGGTTGCTTAGTTGGGCCGAGCTTTTACTGGTCTGGAACATCATTGCCAGGTCCATCCATGTTTATTGGCCAACGATCCAAACTAAAATTCTAACGCATAAACATAGATGGACCATACTAAGAACTATCCAAACGAGTCGGCCCGGAATGGAATAAATTCACTTTGACCCTTTGATCCCACGAACATTAAGGACCCCTTGGAATTATAGGAATGAAAAAAAAATAGAGAAATAGAAAAAACGTAGAATTCTAATAGGAATGCAAGTGCAAAACAGAGGATTGTAAAACACAGGAAAAATACAGAAATAACAGTTTGATTGAACCACAGGAAAAAAACCACAAGAATTAGATATGAGAGATAGACTCCAAAGAAAGTTTTCAAGAGGTTAGAACTCTTGCTAAATTTCCTCTAAAACCTCTATAGGATTGTCCATTCCATAGAAATTTCAAAGGTTAGGATGTAATTCAATCCTTTGTATAAAAAGGCTTCATAGGAAATTTTCCTATAGGATCGGAATCCTCCAAAATTCATATGTTTTAACTCCAAATCAAATGGGCCCTAAAAAAACAAGATTTGGAGAGAAACGTCCCTCCAAACATTTATTAAGAAGAAGTTGTGAATGTGTTGGAGATTGAACACGGGGCCTCGTCACATCTCAGATCCCACAAACATAGATCGCCGACATGCTTGCGTTCTTTCGCTCCTCAGGTGACGGAAGGAGCACGCGCGGACTGCCATGCTTTTTTGTTCAGTCTATCTGTGGGTCCATTTGCCTCCAAATCCACCACCAGACGCTGTCAAAGGAGTAGGCCGACGCTATTCTAATGGCACCCGTGTGCAAGATCTCTGACCGGATCAGTCCGCCATAGCCGTTGCCGCAAATACTCACCTTCATGGTGTGGTCCATCATGCTCGCTGCCAACACTCCCGGAGTCTGTCGGGTGGCGGGTTGTAACGCTCCGCTTTTCGTGAGACGTTAAAAACTAATTCGGCAAAATCTTAATTGCGAAAATTTTTTGTTCCTTGTGTGCGAGTCTAAGTTGTGCCGTGGATTTCAATTCAAATCCGTCCTTGATCCCTCTCGTCGCAATCAAATCCTTCTCCTCGAAATCCCTATTCCGATTCAAGTATTCGAAATTTAAATCCTCTTGAAAACCTTGCCAAATATCCGCCCGACTCCAAAAATATCCAAATTCCCATTTTGCATTCAAATTCAAACTCCATATCAAATTTCTCGCCAAATCAGATTTCCCAGTAAAAGTCTATTTGGCGTCCTCTGTTTTGGATGGGCCGGATTTCCTCCCATCAGCCCACTTCTCTCCCTCAGCCCTCCTCCCTCAACCGCCTTCCCCCTTCTCACGTGCGCCGCACGCGAGCCGCTCGGGAGAGAAAGCTCTCTCCTTCCTCTCGGTTCTCTCTCTCTCTCTCCTCTCTCTCTCTCTCGATGCCTACGCGCCGCGAATCGATTTTCGCCACCGCCTTTGAATTCCGCCGCGCCCTCGCGTCGCGCGCGCCGCCGCGGTCGCCGCCGCGGTCGCGGCCTGCACCGCCCGTGCCGCGCCTCGCCTGCCCGCCGCCCAAAATGGAAGGGACAGGCCTCCCTTTCCACCGTCGTCCCTCCCTTTTTCCCTTCTAAGCCCGGCCTCTCTCTCTCCCGTCTTTGTCTTCTTGCGCGCGGAGGCAGAGGACGCCGACGACGTCCTGCCGCGCCAGTGCCCCCACCTTGACCGCGCCATATTGCTCCTCCCGCGCTCGTGACCCGATTCTTCGCCGTCCGATCCACCGCCTCCATCGTCCCTTGCATCCACGCCGTCGCCGTCCACACGTCGCCCACGAACCGCCTTTGCCGCTCGCTCCCGCCTCGAACTGACCTCGCCTCCGCTATAAAGCCGAGCCCCTCCTCTCAATCTCTCCCGCTTCACTCTCCACCTCCACTGTGCCATCGTTGCCTTCCCGCTGTTCTCGCCGTCGCCGTCCGTCGCCGAGCACCGGGGGAGCCGGTGCGTGCGTGGGCGCGTGACGCGGGACTCTGGGCGCCGTCTTCTTCCCTTGCCCGACCCGAGGTCGCCGTGATCGCGTCTCGTGCCACCGGCCGTCTCCCGCCGCCTCTCCCCATCGCGGTGACTCCCTCCGCCCCTCTCTCTGTTTTTCCTCCTCCTTAGGCTGCTAGAGAGCTCGCCGCCGCGTAGTCGCTCTGTGCCGCGCACGAGCTCGCCGTCGCCTGCCTCTCTCGGGGCCGCCCGTGCCCTCTCGACCGGTGGAATGAGTTCGCGACCTCGCGTAGATGCTTCAGCACCGGCGAATTGACCCCTCGTCGCTCCGGCGAGAAACCCCTCTTTGCTCGCCGGCGATAGCCGCCGTCGCCATCCGCCGTCGCGCTCGGCCATGCGCCGCCGTCCGCTCGAAACCCAGCGATTCCTCTCACCGCCGCAGTCCGCAGGACCCCTTGAACCTCCCCGGCGCGCCGCCGCGGCCGCCCGCCTCGCCGGCCGCGCCCGCGCCGTGCCGCCCATCCCGCCGTCGCCAGCCGCCGTCGCGCTGCCTCTCCCTCATCCGCACCATTGAATCAGCTCCCCTTGACCTCCGCTTGCTTCCGGTGCACGCCGCCCCTCCCGGTTCTCCGCCGCCCGCCGGTATGCGCAGCTCGCCGCCGGCCGTTCGATGCGCCGTCCCGGCCTCCTCTCCCTCCCCACCCGACGTGGCCGCCACCTCAGCGGCCGGGCCCGCTTGACCGAGTCAGCGGCGACCCGGTCAGCCGCCTCCTCAGCCCCTCCCGCCCTTGGGCTTGGCCCACTGGTTTGCCCCCTTTCCATCGGCCCGTGAACCAAAGTCCATATATACCCCCCTTCAAACCAGCTGCCCAGGGAATGAAGTCTATCCGTGCTCCCTCGTTCCTCTCTCCACCAAATCAGCTCTCTTACACAAAAGTCTAACTCCCCCCTTGCTGGCCCCACATGTCAATGAAAGCAAAGAATATTCTTTTCTAAAAATTCCACCAATTTAATTATTATTTCTTTAAATACAATAAATCCTTTTTCCCTTGTTCCATAAATCAATTCTCTATTCCAAGATTCCATAAATCATTTCCTTTGGCCCCGCATGTCAGCGACTGTCAATAATATTCTTGAGAATATTATTTCTATAAATTCCACAAACCATTCCTCCTATTTCAGAAAATTCTAATAAATCATTTCCTAGTCCGGAAAATCCCATTCGAGCTTCCAAAATTCATATCTCTCGATCCGTAACTCCGATTGACCCCGTTCCACTTTCAGTAATTCTGTAAAATTGAGATCTATTTGATGGAACTATTATTTAGTCTAATTAGAATATTTCTTTTGGTCTTTTGTCTAGATTTTTGATTGTTTGCGTATAGTTGCGGTTACCGGATTTTTTGTCGATCGTGGTTTTCTCGAAGATTCGTGAAGCTCCGTAAATACCTTGAGCAAGGCAAGTCACCCTTTGATCAATTGCTCCTATAATTAGAAAATCATTATTATTTTGTTTGTAACTTGCATTATTAGAATCACACACTTAATTTGCTTGGCATCGGTTTGCGTGTCAAACCGACGGACCTACCCAGTAGTCGCACTAATTCTTGTAGGTTGTACTACCCCAATTCCTTGTCGCTCCACCCTTGTGGTACTTCAGTATCCGTGCTCTCTGAGCGCGCATACCAAATATCCCACATACACCGTTGATTTGTCGAAAACTTGGGAAATGGGTTTGTGAAGCCTTGAAAACCCGACATGTGGTGTCTGCGTGTTTGAAAATAAAATGAATTGCGAAAACTCGCGATGCGGGAGCCGTGCCTACGTGGCGCTGTCCCGTATTCGCATATAAGGACCGATTCCTGTGGGAAACTCATCGAGCATAATCAAAGTGCAACCACAAGGTGGAATGGGACACCCTGGCTAAGTAACTAATTGGTTCAGGGAAACCTCGCATGCCAATAGTTGGGAACGCCGGGGCGAGGTCGGACAAACCGGGTTCCTGGTAAGGCAAGGACGAGAAGCTTGCTCACTTACCGATCAAGGTGGTTGGAATTGATTTGTGAATGCCTAAAATGGCCTATACTTACGCGAGGATTTGATCCTTCTATGTGGCATGAGGTAACCCTGGGTCGGCTTGGGAAATGCTTTGTTGCGAACCTCCGATACCGACGGGTGTTCGGAATAAGTTCGTATCTTGTGGGTAAAGTGTACCCCTCTGCAGAGGTTAACTAACTGTTCGAACAGCCGTGCCCACAGTCATGGGCAGATGTGAGGTGGTTCCCGTTGTGTAGATTTGTTTGCCTGCGCTTTGTGAAAAGTTGTTGTGGTGTGGGAATCATAACCAGAATCAGCCTATGTGGCAGATGGATGACCTGAGTGGTCACAAACAAATCTGTGTGATTCGGGATGTCTACGGGCATCATAGACTAGGCTTTCCGAGTGAAAGCGAAATGTTGTGCTGCTGGGCAGCTAGACTCTGGGAGTCCGAGAAAATGAATAAGGCTCTGGGAGCCGCTTAATCAAGTGAAATGGCTCTGGGAGCCAAGAAGTAATGATCTGGCCCGGGAGGTTGGTACATTACCATTTGAGTTGTTGAAAAGCATCTCTTAAGTCGAATCGAGACACAAGTCTCTTTTCGATTCAAACTCAAAAAGAAATAGATCACTTAGTGGTTTCAAAATGGATTTCAAACAAAGGATTTGCAAAACAACCTTGCCTCTCTTCCAAGCTTGCATTAAATACCTAAATTCCCGTGACTTGCTGAGTACGAAAGTACTCACCCTTGCTCTATATAAATATATATAGTTCCTCCGCCCTGAAGAGAAGATAAAGTGAAGTGAAGATTAGGGTTTCGTCCTGGTTACCAGCCGTCGCCTGTGGTGTTGGGTGTTTGTTCGTTGGTTCCGCTGCTGCTGTTGTTGTTGGTGTTTCCTCGTCCGCGTCGTCGGTTGCATTCTCGGGCTGTTCTGAGCTGCAACCTAAGTTAAGGTAAATAAGTCCTCTATTTATTTTAAGGATTTGCAATGATTCATATTTGTCACCGTGGGTACCAGCGCTATGTCCTGGGACTAGTACTGAGATCGCGGTTTCGTAGGAAGCGGTTCGCGCTGTTTTTCCTACGACACGCTCCAGTCAGGTGCCATTGTATGGCGGTACCGGATTGGGGTGTGACACGGGTACGACGTGAGGGAGGTGGTTGGGGCTCGTGATGGCGGTGTGGGTGCAATGCTTCTTTGGCAACAACTATATATACCTTCTCATGTGAGGGGGAGGCTGGTGGGAAGAGGGGAGGAGGAGGAGGACAGCTGGTGCTTCGTCGCAATCAACACACTTGTTGTGACCATACGTACCTCTTTGCCATAGACCTCACCAGTTGCGGGCTCATCTTGACCGTCTTCGTCGGTGTGCCCTTGGTGCTCTTCCTCTTCGTTGGCTTTGCAGAAAGCACCACGTCACCGTCGTCTACAGAGCTGCATCGCTGGCATCCTTCCTTCATCAAGCCAAACTAGCTTATCTCCCACTAGCCACCGCCCTTCTCCTCGCCAGTCGCTGGCCATCTCCTCACCACCTGTCACCCTAGAAAGATGGAACAAGGGGAGGAAGAAAGAGATAAGGGGCCTAACATGTGGGGTGGGTCACACCTTGACTCAGCGTGGTTGACTCTAGTCAACTTGTCACGCTGAACGAAACTAGCCGCTTTAGTGTTATAGCATCTTCTGTACATTGATGTTGTCAGGCGAGGACTGCGTTATATTTGGTATTATGGTATAGTGATAAAATTTGAAGTGTACATCATGATAAGTGACCGATAGTGAACTTATTCCGCCCGCAATTCCTGTCTCACATTAGGGCGCCTGACGGACGTTTTTACAGAACCAGGAGCCATACGGCTGCGTCGTAATTGATCTGAACCATGCGCAACTGCGCAAGCATTTCTCAACTTTGCTTTGTGGCAATGCATCCATTTCCAGAAGGACACCAAACACTGATCAAACCAAAATTAAGCGAAGGACCATTCCATATCACAATACGACTTACTACTAGTTCATAGACTTCCATATAACGTGCCATATTGGAACAACAACATTTTGATTTACATCAGGATCAGGAATCACGACCCGCGATCGACATGGACTCTATCTAGTGCACCTCCTCTTCCTTGTGGGTGTAGATGACGCAGTCCGACTTGGGGTACGAGATGCACGTGAGCACGTACCCCTGCTCGATCTGCTCGTCGGCCAGGAACGACCCGTCCGACTGGTCGACCTCGCCGGAGGCCAGCTTGCCGGCGCACGTGGAGCACGAGCCGGCCCGGCACGAGTAAGGCAGCTCCAGGCCGGCCTCCTCGGCGGCGTCGAGGACGTAGGTGTCCTCGGGCACCTCGAGCTCGCTCTCCGCGCCGTCCGGCCCGATGAGCTTCACCTTGTGCACGGCCGCCGCGGACGCCCTGAACCTGCCGGAGAACCGCGCGCCGCCCGACGTTAGCTGCAGGTTCCCCGGACGACTCAGCAGCTTCGGGGGATCAGCGACGACGCCCCGTGCGCTATAATTGGTGATCGGCGTGGAGAATGCCCTGCACCTGACGCCCGATGTGGCAGGGACGAAGCATGTCGCTACAGGAGCAGGCATGGTTGCCATCGATCTCGCCGAACCTTTCGGAGCTGTGTCGAGATAACGGATGGCTACCAAAAAAGTAGAAAGCAGTTAAGCAGAAGATCGATCAAACGCTGTCCACGGCTTGAGCAGAACACACGCGCAGTCGGTATTAATAGTCGTGTGTCCCTCGATCGGCTCGGTTTGAGCTGCACCAGTAGCAACCTCGCCGTGGTGGATACTACATAGAACGTGGCTGCTGTCCGGGGGAAACGGCCATCGGTAGAGACTAGAGAGAAGAAGGTGCTCGAGAGTACTAGGATAGCCGCATGATCAGAATACTTCGGGAACTTGGGATCGATGGCCGTATATATAATAGTGTCGATGTCGTGCGCGCGAGCGGCGAGCCGCGGGGGATAAGTGCCAGACGGTAACTCATCCCGCCGTCTGGCACTCTGGCGTCTCGTCGCGTCCCCTCGGAGGGCCAAGGGCCGGAAGCTGAGGGTGTAGAAGTGACCACTGAAGTCTACATATGGCCGTTCTAGATGCCCTGAGAAACGAACTAATAGTGGTACGTAATTGTCGTAATCCTGTGCTCTGTCTTCGTTTTTTTTCTCGTTTGACCATGGCCATGATTTTTTAGGCGGTGGCGCGTGTTGGTATGCATCCCTGTTCAGTGAACCTCGCTCCACTGTATACAGAAAAGACACGAGAGAGGTATCGTCTAGCAAGCAGCCACAAATGCCACATGCGAAAATAGAATCGACACATCTCGAACTGTAGAACACACCAAACACGTAAATTTCTCACAATTTTTTCTGCTTCTAAATGAGTATACAAGCCGGCCATCTTATTGTACATGTTTGCTTTGTTCTGAAATGTGTAGAAACTACTCCATCTTGCAGGGAACGCGCGGCACGTGTGATTCTACGCGAACGCCGACCTGACACGAGCTTACCCTGGCTAGCTCAAACGCTGGACTTCACCTTGTCGCTGTACCCCGTGAGCCCGTCATAGTACCGCGACCACAGCATGATCCCTCCGTACTTGGGAGACTTCTTCACCACGGGGAGCACCTTCGACACCAGGTCGCTCGTCTCCACGAACCCGCTGCCGGCGGCCTCCGCCGCCGCCGGCAGGCCGAGGAACACCCGTCCCGCCGGGATCGACGTCCACTGCTTCCACGCGCTCGCCAGGTTGCCCACGCCGTTGGACGAGCTGTACTGGCACGGCGGGTTGTTGTAGAACTGCACCCACACGTAGTCGAACAGGCCGGTGCTGAGCGCGACGCCGAGCGACGCGTCCGGGAAGGGGCACTGTGGCGCCGCCGTCAGGTACACCGGCTTCTTGCTGCTCCCCTGCCGCGAGTACGCCTTGAGGTACCTGGCCAAGTCGTCCCAGTACATGCCCCCGCCGCTCTCGATGTCGAAGTCGATGCCGTCCATGACGGCGTCGCCGAGCGGCCTTGACGGCGACGTGCCGCCGAGGTAGTTGTTCCACAGGTACGCCGCGACCTGCTTGGCGTCGTCGCGGGAGGACAGGCCGTAGTTGCCGACGCCGCCGCCGATCGAGAACATGACCTTGATGCCGAGGCTCTGGCACGACTTGATGTCGGCGCCCACGCCGGTGCAGCCGTTCGACGCCGGGTCGCAGTGGCCGGCCAGGTTCAGCACCGGCGTCTGGCCCTTGCCGAACACAGGCAGGAAGGCCACGATGACGAACCTGTAATTACCGGTCGCGCACGTCTGCGCCAGCGTGCCCTCGTTGCCGTTCTGGCCCCAGTAGATCGCGATGTCGCCGGCGCGCGCTCCGGCAGCTAGCCCGGCCAATGCCACCACCACCATGATCAGCATCTGCATTGCCGAAAACATTCTACTTGTCATCATGGTGATTCTCGATCGAATTCTTGCTTCTACTCCGCAACCGCAAGGTTCTTGTGTATTTATAGCCGAATTCAACTAGGTGTGAATACTGGTAGCAGTGAGCCAGTGAAGCCGCTGCGACGTGCGTTCCGCGATTTCATCATTTGTTAGGTCTGCTCGCCGTCGCAAGTTGACCGGGCAAGAACAGAACAAGTGAGCAACAAGATAAGAAGAAAATGTGTGGTGGGTGCTTGGGACCAATCATCGAAGCATGCCATTGCCAATATGATATTGGCCAATCAGCGCATGCTATGCACAAGATTGTGGCCTATAGTGTCGGCAGTGGTTGACCGTTGACGTCCGCGAGCTTTGGTCTTCGGTTTGAGCGCAGCTTCCACTTATCACGCGCCAGTACCAATCACGAGATGCGATGGCCAATTATTCTTGTGACTGTCAAACTGCTTCACTCCGTAAGAGTTGACTGGTTGATGCCATCATGCCATTGTGTTTGCAGTGTTCAACAATGGCAGTTGCAGAGTGGCCAGTAGGTAGACAGTACAAAAGGATGAAAGGATTCTTTCCGGAATCACTGGATGCTATTATCCTTTTTTGATGTCTAAAGAAAATTAGATGCAAGATTAAGAAGTGTAATGTTAGGATTGCTCTGTAACTAATCAGCAGTATGGCAAAAATTTTTTTTAATAAAATGGCATTTAGCATGACAGAGAAAGAAAGGGACATTTTGCAGCGAGTTCAGCCAGTGAAATGGACAAGCTCAAAACTGTTTGACGATCAAACAACCGTCATGCAATCTTGCTACTCACGCACTACCGGAAAAGACCACATATTTGAGCTAATCCGACGATTAACAACTTTAACGCATGGGCCTATTGAGCTAATTAATACTCTGTTCTCTCCTGGACAGAGGAATAGACAATCATCCGAACGAATAGTGCGGGCTCGTTTGCTGCTTTCGTTCTTCGTACTCTATCCAACTAGACAAAGAAACATTTTGATTCATGCAATCAAATGAACCGGGTAATGTGGATTCACGTGACGACCAGCTGATTGGTAGTTTTGGATAGTATTTTTGGCCTGCCAAGTTCGTGCTTATCGTTTTCAGCAGAAAGCAGATTGTCGTTGCAGAGCAGAGTCACTACCACAATCCGAAGTTTCTGAACATATGCACTGATAATCAATAATTTGAGATATATATGCAGTGCTACAAGTATAAAGATAAACTCAAGTGAACACCTTACAAATTTCACCTGCCACAAGCTCATTGGGGAAAGCGGGGGAGCTATTTTTCATCAAAGAAAATAGAAATAACTTGACTATTTAGAGATCGGAAGTAATGGCCTCCCAGAGCTTCAAGTAACAGACGGAATTCAGTTCAGGTAGCCTAAAAGTTTGACTCTGGAAGTCTCAAAATAGCAGTATATATCTCATCGTAGATTCGTAGGCATCAGTTTTGTGTAGAAAAAAATATTCAGCAAAATCCTTGCTGTTAGTTCTTCTATTTGAAAGCATAATGCTCTTAGTTCTTCTATCAATGGAATATTGCAGTATAATGATAAGCAACAAAGGATGACAACACTAACGACTGAACAGCTCAGTTGGCTAATTGTACAGTCCAGCGGAGGTTCGGTGATACGTTCTACTTCTATTGTACAAACAGAATATAAGATTTGTTGATTGGGCGAAGGGATTTAGGGCTCGTTTGGAACTTTAAAATCTCGTTTGGAACATACAATTTTTACAAATTTTTGAGCAAAGGAATAGTCACCCCAAATTTCTTTCAAAGTTCCCTAGGATTGTCTCAAATCATAAGAATTTTCGAAAGACTTCTAATATGAGGATCAACCTCCTGAAAAAAAAAATCTTCATTTTGATTCATATGTTTTTCATGTGCTCCATCCAAACAGTCTTTCTATTTTTTTATATTTTTATTTATAAGATTTGAGGGGAGTCATTAGTTGCTCATATTTCTAGTAAGCTATTTTGATTTATTAGGGAATAAAAATTAGTTTATAAGTAAAACTTTTATATATGTGTTCCTAACAAATTAAAAGCCAATGCTAAAAACTTACGTTAAAAATATCTTAAAATCAAAATCAAATTTAAGTTTAAAAATTTGAATTTTAGCTTTGGCTTCGGTTTATTAGGGCAACCGATGGAACTCGAGGATCCAAGGTACTGGAATTACATTTTTTTTTTCTGGTCCACGTGTTTTGAAAATTCTTGCATTCCAAAAGCACTTAATTAAAAATAAAGACATTTAGATGTAATCAACAACCTCGAAGAGCTTAGATATCTTATTGTCCTGTTTTCATATAGAAATGAATATTATTTTCAAGCAGGAAATGCTCGCATATTTATGTTCTCTCAAAACATCAACTAATCTCTCTCTCAAAAAAAACATCAATTTAAGCTGCAACAAATGGTCACCTTTTTTTATTCTTCATATAAACGACAGTGGCGAACGAATGAAATTAAACTGGGGGCAATGGTAAGCTACGGTCTAAACGTCTGACCGGTAACCGAAAGCAATCAACACATGCTCCTACACATCACTGTGCTACATATATACTCAAATATCCGTTTCATAATGTAAGTCATTCTATCATTTTCCACATCTATATTATATGGATATAGAAAATGCTAGAATAACATAATGTACATTATGGAACGGAGGAAGTATTATAAATACGTCGCAGCACAGTCACACACTCTAGCTAGTGATGCGTACATTACGTAAGGTGCACACGCGCTCTGGAACGTATAATGGTATAGAACACGTGAATTGTGATCACACGTGGCTCTTGATGGCGGAGCTGTAGCCGGTTTGATCGTCGTAGTACTTGGACCACAGCATGACGCCGCCGTACTTGGGGGAGCCCCTGATGAGCGGCAGCACGCGGGAGTTGAGCTCGCCGGCGGGCACGAACCCGGTGCCGGCGGCGTCCTTGGACGCCGGGAGGCCCAGGAAGAGTCGCCCCGCCGGCACCGACTCCCACTTCCTCCACGCGTCCATGAACGCGCCCCGCCCCGCGCTGAACTGGCACTCCGGGTTGTTGTAGAACTGCACCCACACGGCGTCGAACAGCCCCGTGCTGATCGCGCCGCCGTCCCACTCGTCCGGGAACGGGCACTGCGGCGCCGCGCTCAGCACCACCCTCCTCCCGCCGCTCCTCCCCAGGCTCTTCAGATCCCTGTTCATCACGATGAGTGTGACGATGGCCGGCCGGTGAGTAGGAAGATGGCCGGAGATGGTTTGGTTTTGGTTACGTACCTGGCGAGGTCGTCCCAGAACTTGGCGCCGCCGAGCTCGATGTCGAAGTCGATGCCGTCGAGGACGGCGTCGCCGAGGGGACGGGACGAGGAGGAGCCGCCGAGGAAGTTGTTCCAGAGGTACATGGCCACCTGCCGGGCGTCACCGGGGGATGAGAGGCCGTAGCTGCCGTCGCCGCCGCCGATGGAGAGCAGGACCTTCACCCCGCGGCGCTGGCACGCGCGGATGTCCTTGCTCTGGCCGGTGCAGCCGCCCGACGCGGGATCGCAGTGGCTGGCGAGGTCCACCCGCGGCGTCTGGCCCTTGCCGAACTTGGGGAGGAAGGCGATGATGACGAACTCGTAGTTGCCCGACGCGCACGTCTCGGCCAGCGATGCCTCGCCGTCGTTCTGGCCCCAGTACACGGCGATGCCGCCGGCGTGGCACGTCGCGAGGAGCGCCACGAAGACCGTGCCAATGAGCTGCATGGGAGTGAGAGCTCGGCTCGCCATGCTGCCACAGCAAGTCGTGTGCTCGACTGTGCGTCTGTGGCTATGTGTTGTATATGTGTGTTGTGGTGGGTGGCGGAGTGTGCTTAGACGAGCTCCCTTTTTATAGAGGTTTTGATGGTAGTTACTGCTGCTGGTTGATAAAATCAATAGGAGCGTCTTAGCTTGATTAGCTTCCGTGCCGTATCACGTACGTATCTGAATTTACCGGGAGTTGTTGCGGTGAAGCAGAGCTGAAATGAACGCAGAAACATTTCGTTGCGGTCGGTGCGCTGGAATGCTTAGTTTACCTATGGTGAACAACGGTTTATGAACACCGGTCACTGGATTTGAGTATTTATTTAACGACCCAATAAAAGCTCCACCGTACTAGCTGAAACATAACGATATGTGCGACAATGCTGTGCCCCCTGCTATGCCCCAACAGCGTACCAAGACAAATAAATTATTATATAATAATACTACTAATGGTTTCGTAGTTTCTCATTACTAATCGCTGCCCCCTATTACGCCCCAACAGCGTACCAAGACAAATGAATTATATAATACTACTAATGGTTTAGTAGTTTCTCATTAGTTATCGTGTAGTAATCATAGGATTATGGTTATTGACTATATGTTGTTTACAGCTGGGGATTCAGGAGCAGATATTCCTAGTTTTTATAGGTTGAAGACGCCACTCCAAAGAGATTCACTTGGATGCTAAGGATGTGTTTGGAGAACTTAAGATTCTGAGAAGCAGCTGGTTGGTAGCCAGCGTCTGAGAATCTGAAACTACAACTTCTTATAATCTGGACCATAAGTTGGACTGTTTGGGTGGATTTGGGAGAGCTTTTGGACCTCATCGGATGGCATTTGCTTTGGCTGATCAGCCATTTAAGCAAAATAAGCTAACCAATATACATTGAAGTTTGGCTGAATTCAGCTTTGGCTAATCAGCCAAAGTATTTGGCCATCCGATGAGGCGCTTTGATTCTTGATTCTGAGAGAAGCTGCAACAACTAGAAGCTCCCCAAACAGGCCCAAGGAAGCTCCCTAAACAGGCCCAAGGCTCCACCCCAGATACACCAAGATTCCAAAGTAAAGTTGAAAGCGATCATAGCTTTAGCGGGAAGGTCAAACAACATGTCAACAAGATTCCAAAGTAAAGTTGAAAGCGATCATAGCTTTAGCGCAACGATCTCTAAGATGGTAGGTAGAAATAACAGTGCCAAGTGTCACAATCTTGCCATTCTTGAAAGAATTATGATTCACAGGCTGGTTCTCAGACAATAATGTGGTGCAGGAAAAAATAATTCGCACAGCAGGTTACCGACCACTTGGAGTACCACAGAAAGATTTCAACGGTTGAAGTCAAGTTAATCGATAACATCAAAAATGATTTCTGAACTTGTTGCACAAAAAAATGATAGTTGAGAAAACAATAAAAGTTCCAAGCAGGGAAGTCTCTAGAAATTCGAGGAGCATGAAGAAAACCATTTAGAACACCCGGATCACTTTTCCCATAGTGCTCTTCAGGTACAAGCATCTCACCTGTATACATTAAAATGTCAATCATCAGTCTATCTTAGTTTAAGTCAAGGTTACATACTACTTTCGTTTCATATTATAAGTCGTTAACTTTTTTCTTAATAAAACTTATTTAAGTTTGACCAAAATTATAGAAAAATATAGCAACATTTCTAACCCCAAACAAACATATTATTAAAATATACTCAATGCTAAATTTAATGAATATAATTTGGTATTGTAAATGTTGATAATTTTTTCTATTTATTTGGTCAAACTAAAAAAGTTTGATTAGGGAAAAAGTAAAGGAAGTAAATGCAACTTATAATATGAAACAAAGGGAGTAGATAAATGTTGCATGTACTCCGTGTTATAAAGAAAATATTGGAGTACTTACGTTCTGCCAATTCTTCTTCAAAAGAGAGACAAGGAAGTTCACGCTCATTTGCACATTTTGGAAAATTTGCTTCTCCTCCATAGCACAGTTGCCTACAGCAACACCCATGCAAAGAACCTTTTTCAGTTGGAACTTCACTGTAGCCTTAGTCTCGTTAACCTTGGACTCAAGTGATTCCTGGTGAGTCACCAACGTTGGGAATTTGCCTGCAGTAGATCACACAGCAAAGCATTACATGAAAGCAGACTTTTCTTTTTTTTAAAAAAAAATGTTACTAAATTGTCTCTGGTCCTTGGGAGGTACCCTACATGGTCTATGCAATTTGGCCACATGCTAAATTGTTGGCCAATTGGGAATATTGATCCCATTGTTTCTAAGCAAAGCAAAACAACTAATTTCCTCAAAAACCAATGTCATCACAACCAATAGGTGTTTCAAAAAAGAACAGTGATGCAAGTAGCTAAGTTTAGAAATCATCTACTAGTACAGTATATGGACCTGAGACTCAATGGACAATTTGAAACCAGGAACCTCGTTTGGACACAATTATGTAGCTGCTTTTCAATATAGACCTCCCATAAACAAGTAAAATCCTTGAGAACATATCAGCAGAAGTTAGCCAGCTGTCTATGATTGCCAACAACTCAAGTCCAACAGCTATCATGGTAGTGCAATAGATGGAACAAGATACTTGCCTGCCTTGTTAAGACCAGGTCCAAGAAGTCGAGGAATCTGCTTAATGATGGCCTCAGATGCAAGGAAAGCGTGATATTTCTTTGCAAGCTTCTTAACCAGCTTCTTGTTTTTGTTCATCTTCTTGAGAGCTTCCACATCCATATAGTCTAGGCCCATTTTCTCTGCCTGCACAATAGCATTGGTAACAGAGAAAAGAAACATCAGCATCCGTATGCAGGGCAAATAGCATGGAACACTCCATGGAAGAAGGTATTCCTGATTTTCGCATCAAGGAGCGATGGAGATACAGTATACAGTGTTTTCACAAAAGAATATAACATGTTTACTTTGAGGATTATACTAAACACCTTTTAGTATCCAGAACATAGATCTTTCGTAGCATGGAGTAGTAGCAAATGGGTGTAAGTAACTAACTATTCAAAGTTTTGGCAGCAAGGTACATGTTGACAGCAAAAGTAAAGGCAACTGCATAAAGCACAATGAAGGGGCAGATATATTTGATCCTAACTGAAAGAAAAACATCATTTACTATATACCAAGTTAGGATCAAATATATCTGCCCTTCATTGTAGAAGCCTATCAACAATTTTCTATTACTAAAGCACAATCTGTTATGTACACAAGGAAGTTGATGCAAAACTGATAAAAGAGTACAATACCTCTTCAACATGCTGGGCATCACCAAGCATGCACACCTTCATCTTAGGGCGGGGGATGTGAGGCAACTTAACAGATCCACTGAAACGCTTATCCTTTTGAGGGTCATAGTTCTTCAGTCCAATCTGCAGTTCAATGGTTTCCACGAACTTGCGCTGCTTCTCGCGGGATTCACTAGTAATTTGTGAGATTGCCTCCCTAAGAGCATCACTCTGCAACTTACTGAAACACAAAATTAAAACAAGTTAATGGCATGATTAAGCATGGTTATGTTGCATACTAAAATAAATGCCTATGGTTTGGCTTTACACAGAGCACCAAATCAACTAGCATGAAAGGCCATTTCGAAAGTAACAAGCTTACGCAAATGCATAAATACTTAAAAGAATGAGAAAGTGCATAACTAGAGATTTCCCATTAAATTCCCAAAATCTGGAGTTGATCATTGAAAAAAGTTTGCAGCAGAGTTCTTACACTGAATTCAGATTGCTGCTACTCCCAGTTATAGTGCATACAGTTTGCCTTTAAAATAAAAAGATCTAATACGACAACTGAAGTTAACAAGAGTTATAAAGACCGCCCACATCTCACACTGAAACATTCATTGTAATCTATTCGTAAAGCATAGACACATCACACATCAGACGCCAGATTCGAGCGCAAACAACGGCAAAACCAGCCGACAGATTAGACAACATATACGTTGCTATAAAACGCGAACCAGAACCAGACAGATTGATAGCCATAACATCGCTTCATTAGCAGCAGCAGCAGCGCGGAACTATTTCTCCGTTGCTCGCATACAAAGCAGCACGCAGCCACGACGAGGGAGTGAATCCGTACCTCATGGCGCCGGCGGTGCGAGCACACTGTTCCTGCGCAAGCGAGGGTGGGGGGGTCAGGATGAGACAAAAGCAACAGTCCGCATCGAGAATGGACGAGAGGAGGAGGAGGAGGAGGAGGCTTACCGCAACGAGGAAGGTGGCGGCGGCGCGGCGGCGGCGGAAGCGGAGGGCGAAGTGGCGGCGGCTGTGCGCTAGGGTTGAGGAGAGTTCGACTTGGTGTTCCTTTTGTGCTTTTTCTTGGGCTGGGCTTCGTTGTACTATTGGGGGCCCAACTATTTCTCCCCTTTTTGAACCGGCTCGAAAAATACTCGGCTATCGCAATTTTCACAAGGCCCCCCCTGCCCGACGAGAATTTTCAGAATATGCCATCGAATTCGCACTGCTTTCAGGATATGCCACCCAATTCGTGCTACTTTCAGAATACGCCATCGGAGCACGAATTTTCTTTATTCCGTGCCACTCCGTCTCTTCCGTCCGTAGCGCCGTCGTCTTCCGTCCGCCCGGCGCCGTCGTCGTCAGTTCGTCAGTCCGCCACCGCCCGTGCCGGCGCCCTTGTCAGCTGCGCCCGCGTCCATCCGTCACCGGCATCATCCATCCTCATCGTCGTCCATCGTCGTCGTCGTCCACAGCGTGGCGTGGGCGCAGAGGGAGGCGAGTGCTAGCAGCGGGGCGACGCGGACGCGACCACGAGCTCGAGCACCGCCGCGAGTCCGCTACCGCCCGCGCTGGCGTCCGTCTAGATTCCGGACCCCTTAGCCTCGATTGTATACAGCCAAGTTGATCAGATTTCAGAAGCAAAGTTATCTGAAAAATAAAATGCTTTGATTTGCTCCCCTTAGCCTGCAGCCACGATGCTTTGATCTTGTAAGATAATGACGACGAATAACTAATCTTGGGGATCATGAATTGATACCAATCCGAATAGAACGAATCTGTAACTAATATAAATATTCGTATTTTTCCGGTCGTTGCATCTAATTTTCGTCCACACA